AATGCTTGTGACTCTGTAATTGCAATATGTAAAGGTAGGCTCATTAATATTCTCTCAGAACAGTGGGGGAGCAGGAAATGCATGTGGTCTTGATAGTATTTGCTTATATTGCAAGATGGGGCTTGGTTTAGCTCAGTTGGCTGGATGGTTGGCTTGTGGAGCAGTGTGATGCCAACAGTGTGGGTTCAATCCATGCACTGGCTGGGGTTATCATGAAGGACTTTCCTTTTCAACTTCTCCCCTCGCCTGTCAGGTTACAGCACCACCGGTTATCTCTCTGTAATGAGAGAGCAGCCCTATGGCCTGGTAAGACTACAGTGACTTGACATATTGCAAGAATGCAACTTTTATTTTTACTAAGTTTCAACCTCGGCTATACTCTCTGTTCAATCACACTGGCAATGTAAGATGTACTGAAGGGAGTGATGTTGAAGGCAGAGGGAGACACTTTACATGGTGAGGGCTATGAATTCCTTCCCTATTTCTGCCCTTCCCCCTCATTGTCTGCTGCTTCCTCCCCTCAGGCTGAATAAAGGTTTTGACTTCTTTTCACTTTATTTGATACATTTACTGTCATTTTGGACTTGGCTGTAATCCCTTTTTTTTGGGCTATTGGTAATGGAGTTTTGCTGGCAGCATAAAATGGTGATTGCAATTTAGCAGCTTGTTTCAAATTCTGTCCAGTTCCAACAGGAAAGAAAATGAGGTTGGCTGTAAAACAGGCTGCTGATTCACTCTCGCCTTTTTCTAGCTGCCAGCCAAGGTGAGTTTATATCCCAGGTTCTCTAGCTCAGGTTATAGAGCTTTTAAATACGAAAATAAAAGTAGTGAAATGACCCGACTCCAAATTTACTGCGTGGAGTTAAAACAAAATAAATCACCAAACATCTATTAAAATAGTGGTCTGAAGAATGTTAAATGAGCATGATAAATTGTTCTTGAGCACAAGTCACAAAGGAATAACTTCTATCCTCTTGAAGCTGTCAAAATCTTGCACACAAAATAATATTGTAGACTGCAAACATTTTAGAAAAGGAACTGAATCATAGGAAAATGTGATTTGAAGGAACAAGTAGAGGCAACTATATTCCCAAAGTTGGATCTGGCTGAGTGCTTCTAGTGTGAATTGAAACCTATTCTTAGTGATTTATTAGTGCTGTTTGTCTCATTTCCTTCTTGACGGTGTTGATGTAATATGGACCATGTGGACCTTCTCCTTGGTTTCTTTGCAGTAACTAAGGAATGTTCATTATGACTGAAAGCAGTTTTTCAGGTTGTAGAAAAAAAATTGGGGACTCTATTCAAATTTCTGCTGCCTGAATCCTAACTCGTATCTAAATCTGTTCAATCCTCACCCCTGCACTTGCAAACTTCTGCTGATATCCAATCAAGCTAAAAGGTAGTTTTTAAAATTTTGAGGTAGAGGTCTGGCAGGCTGACAGCTAATGACTTGCACTTATATTCCAGTCCCTTTGTATAGACAAATCTTCTATGTGTTTTATGGCTGCTTTTTACAACTGCATATTAACATTATGATTTGTGTATGAGTGACACACATCCCTCTGCCAGTTCACTAACATTTGCAAAATATTCATTTTTTTCTGTTTTTCTTCCATTTTCCATATTTTGGTCTCTCTCTCTCGCTCACGCACGCTCACACTCTCACGCGCTCACAATCTCGCACGCTCAGAATCTCTCACTCACACTCTCGCAATCACACTCACACATTCGCACTCTCACATTCACACTACAATCCCATCTAACTGTACCATCAGGAAATTTAGAAATGTTGCAGTCAGTTCCCTCATCGAACTGACTCATATAGATGGTAAGTAGTGCAGCAATTTTACTTCATCCCTCTTCTCACTATGAACACCGATAATTTAATCTTTCATCACACATACTGTTTTCTCTTTGGAGGATCATTGTTTATGGAACTTTTCAGGGATCATTGACGAGAAGGGATTTTTTAGTCAATGGAAAGCTAAAATCATGCCAAAAATCTGGTTCACCAGAAATATCTAACAGAATCTTTCATTGACATTCCAGGTTTTAAATCTTACAGTAAAAAAAAGACTCATATAACTATATTTTTGTATGCATTATAATCTAATTCCTTGGTGGTTACTGGTGTTCTGTAGGAATAATTGTAGCCAAGGGTCATTTCCACATAGCATACAACATAAACTCATTCATCAAAACACATGGTTAGGGCATAATTTCCAAAATTTATAATCTGAACAGGAGAGCCTCAGTGGTTTCATGTGTTTCTCATTCTTGTTCAATCAGACAAATTTATCATGACCTCAAGCCTCCCATTTCCCAGTAGACGATTCATGCTACACAGTACACTGAAGGTTGGTACAGTGAAAGGTACACAACAAAATATTTACTTTGCCCTCTGTTTAATGGAACAGGCTAGGGATACTGTTACTTTATAAGATGATGACAAATCTATACCATTACTTGTGCGATAACAGATTAGATCTCTGGTTAACTATTTGAAGACCAATGTTGAGTCTTAAAAAAATGTTTCAACTGTACCAACGTAGACTGCAAAAAATTTGTGTTTATCTTCTCACATAAGTGATCAAAGTACATTTGGTGAAAGGAGAGAGGGATAACATTACTATTTAATGAAAATTGAAATGCATGCTTTCTCTTTGTTCAACAATATCACCAGACTGGTGCAAATTTCCAGTACTGAAGGAGAATATTCGGCCTATCTTCTTTGCACAGTTCTCTTTATTAAAACGACTCAGTATTAGTCCTTGTGCACCACTGTCTCTCTTCATAGCTTCCTATCTTCCTTGTAACTATAGCCAGTGAAACCCATAACCCATGAACAAATAACAAAGTCTGCCTTTTCTTCAAAGACGTTCACATTTTCAGTACGGTTACTGATATTTTAGCTACATTTTGAAAATGATTACTTCAGTGAAGACATCTCATGCAGGGGTTTTTTTTGCATTTAATAGTGAGAGAGGGGGAGTTTTTGACTTCACTACCTGGGCCATTTGTTGGAGTGGTTCAATCACTCGTAACAAGGTGTTCAAGTTTCATCCCATTGGGGTGAGGGGAAAGACTCATCAGCAACTTTATGGTCTTTTGATCAGAGCAATGAGAGATTTTTCTTGGGAGCCAAATGTTGTAGGCCGAAGGTCCAGAACATAGGACATGCCTTACTTTGGACGAAATAGAAAAGAATATGGAGTAAATGAACAAAGCTTGGTTTATAGAATCATACAGTACAGAAGAGGCTGATTGAGTTTGTACTGCCAAAAATAGACCACTACCTACTCTAGTCCCACTGTCCTGCACTAGGCCCATAGCCTTGAATTTTAGACACTTCAAGTGTTCATCCATGTACTTTTGAAAGATTATGATGTTTCTTGCCTCATCTACCCTCCCAGGCAGTGCATTCCAGATTCCCACCACCCTCTGGGTGAAAAAATGTTTCCTCAAAACCCCTCTAAACCTCACTTAAAAAGTGTGCCCTCTTGTTCTTGACTCTTCGACTAACGGGGACAGCTGCTTTTTTAATTACCCTGTGCAGGCTGTCACAATCCTGTATGCTCTTATCAGGTCCCCCTCACCTTTCTCTGCTCCAAAGAAAACAACCCAGGCTTACCCAGCCCCTCTCCATAGCTGAAATGCTCCATCCCTGACAATGGAGGGTATATCAGGCGTTAAAAGCTGTAAAAAGGAACAACTAAACTAGAAGAGTTTAATGCAATTGAAGGTCAGGGAAAATGAAGGTTGGAGCAGCACTGTGTGACAGTTTTTGGTTTTACCACTGTAAAGGGGAGAAGGGTATGAAAGACACTTTATTTGAGGCACATTATTTCAGCATCTTCCAAACCTGCAGCCTCTACCCGTGGAAGGACAAGGGCAGCAGATACATGGGAACTCTACCAGCTGCAAGTTCCCCTCCAAGTCGCACACCATCCTGACTTGGAAATATATTGCCATTCCTTCAGTATTTTGGATCAAAATCTTGGGAACTCTCTTGCTAACAGCATTGTGGTGTACCTACATGAGATAGACCACAGCAGTTCATGAAGGCAGCTCACTACCACCTTTTTCAGGGCAATTACAGGTGAACAACAAAGCTCACATCCCAGGAATAAGTTGTTTTCTACAAATAAAACAAGTGAGGACAGTTTTGAAGATAATTGGTAATAATATTGCTTAGAAAATGAGAACAAGAAAGTCTGAGGCAGAGGGTGAGACTGGAGCTCAAGAAGGATTACAGGCTTGGCCTTAGTCCTGTTCAAGAATGCAAGAGATCTCCTGTTGAACTCCTGGATAGAAGTGCACTCTTACATGAGCTGAAGGTATAGGGTAGGGGATAATTTTCAGAGTTGCACTGCAGCACGCCTTGTCCTTCCCCATAATAAATATCAACCATTGGTGTAGAGGGCTCACGATTATCCCATATGTGTTAAGGGTCACTGGAGCCGAAACGTTAACTCCAATTGTTTTTCTTCACAGATGCTACCAGACCTGCTGAGCTTTTCCAGCAACTTCTGTTTTTGTTCCTGATTTACAGCATCTGCAGTTCTTTCAGTTTTTATCCCATATGTGTTGACTGGCAGGAAAGCTGAACTCAATGACATCTCTGGGATTTTGTTTGTTGTATTTAACAATTAATATTACAAAGCACAATAGTGCAGTGATGACTGACAGTCCACCAACACGGTGTTTGGAACCTGTTATAAATTGAGAGTAACCAGAGTTCAAGTTTGTTAACTTTAGGTGGATGACCTTTCATGAGCGTTCTCCACTGTTTCCACAAATGACATGTGACCTTCTCAGTACTTCCTACGTTTTATTTCTTCAGATTTCCAGTACCTGCAATATTTTGCTTTTTTTTTCCCCTAAGTTGAGCATTGTAGCTAACCACCTTATGCCATTAATGCAGTGAGGCCATTGCATTGTTGTGTTTGTTGAGGAGGTGAAACCAAAGTGTGAGTGACTGTTCGTTTCTACTTTTCTAGGATAGTGCTAATCAGTGGCAAGAGATCCTTCTGCTCAGTGTTTTCAGTAATGCCATATCGAGACAACAGTCAGACAGGGTGAGTATACACTGGGCATTATGAGAATTCAACCGACTATTGTTATTGTGTCTTGTGTGTTGAGAATATAAGAATAAAGATATTTTGTTCACATATAACTCTCAGCGATACAATGCATGGTTCATGAGCTGAATAGGCAATATTCAGAATTTCTAATTCTGGTTTGTGGAACATTTCTATATTCAAATATCTGCTTATATTAAGAAAAACAGTTTTTATACTGTGCTAATTTATGGCTAGCTAGTCTGCAACCTCTAACACCTTATTATGTGAATCAGTGCTATAATTCTGGAAGCTGTCATTATATTTTTCACATGTAACAAATTACCATGTCAGCCTCCATGACATGGAACTGTGTATCCAGAAGGCTTATCAGTGATTAGGAATATCCCTTGCAGTCATGCCTTGTGACTCCCATTAGGTATCTGCAGACAGAGGGTGAGGACAAAAATAATGAGGCCTATGGGATTGAAGTGTCATTTAAGTGCGTGGTTAAATTTTGTGGAAGCCATGCAGTTAACATCTCAATCATTCATAATATTATTAAGCAGCGCGATATGACGATGTTGCTAAAGAGGCAGAGGACTCTCCATCCCTACATTAGGAGCAGGAAACACAAAAAGGAGAGGAGATGGAGCAAGAGAGCCATCTGCCTTTCACCAGACTAAAGAAGAAGCACCGTTTTGCTGAGTGCTTTCATTAAATTTCAGTTAAAAAAACAAAAACTGCACCAGTCTTCAGAATGGTACCAGTAGTTGTGAAGGGGAGAAAGATGAAGTAAACAGAAGTTTTAAAACATTTTTCAGAGAGAAATGATCATTAAAAGTCTGATGGGATTGTCAGGGCTCAGTGGCAGCACTCTTGCCAAAGCCTCATAGGTACAGATCCAACCCAAAACTTTGAGCATAAAATCTAGGCTGATAGTACGGTGCAGTATTGAAGGAGTGCTGCATTTTCAGAAATGCTGGGTTTCAGATGAGATACCCAACTGCGATCCTGTACACATTCTCAGTTGGATTTCAAGATTTGAATTAGGAGCAGGTCTAGGCCACTCAGCCCTTCGAACCCTGGGCGGTCACCCTGATTCTCTCTACCCAAGGGACGGTTCTGGGTATAGTCCTCCCTTTCCCCGGTATTGGTGCTAGTTCCTCATGACCTGGAAACCACTGATACTGCACCAGACTTTCAGCCATGCATTAATTTCTGTAATCTTATTTCGCCCATGTCAGTTTGCGTGTGGCTCAGACATTAATTCAAAGATTAAAAAAAATCATAATTTTAGTGCCTGAGCACTTTCTCCCATGTCCTTAGCCCAACCCCCATACACTAGGCCATCACGTGGACTGCTAACACAGCAAACCCATTGTCAGCTACTGATGGTCCCCATTGCAACTATTGACTCTCCCAGGCTGACCATTACCCATTCCTTTGTCTGTTCAACTGTTATTCTCTCTGTCTGGGCTCCATCTCCACTTATTGTGTACTCCTCTCTATCTGCTCCTGCCACCCCTTCCCGGCCACCCCATCGCCATCGTCACCACCACTACCTCCCAATCTTCAGTATATAAACCAACCTTTTCCTAGCTACAATCAGTTCTGAAGTAGGGTCACCGGACCCAAAACGTTAACTCTGCTTTCTCTGCACAGTTGCTGCCAGACCTGTTGAGTTATTCCAGCAATTTCTGTTTGTTTAATCCAAAGATATTGAAGCTCTGCTTCTTTCGGTGCCTAACTCCTCATACTGACTATTCCAGAACACTTTCTTTGTCCTGCCTGTGTCGTTGGTACATTGCATGGACCATGGCAACAGGATCCTTCCACTTCCACTTCAACTTTCTCTCCAGCTTTAAGTAGATCTCCTGAACCCCAGCACTCAGTGTGGTGAACCCAGATCAAACCCTCTGACCGTACTGTCCCTTCACCAGCACTACATTTCTTTTTGCCTTAAGCTTCTCAAAAGCAACTTGGCCCTGTGCTGACCATTCCATCTTTGCCTCTTTCTGTAACAGATCTGATGAAAATATAGGTATTGTGCTGAAGTTGGGCACGAATTTCCAATGAAACTCACACATTCCCAGAAATCCGGGAATAAGCTTTAGGAGCTATGAATTCTATAAGAGCCTTCCCTTGCCTTGGGAAAAAGAGACTATGAGAGTAAAATTGCAAGGAACGTTGAAACTGACCATAAAAACTTCTACAAATATGTGACGAGAAAAAGATTAGTAGAGAAAAGATGTAGTCAGAACCTGGGGTAATTATAATGAGAACAAAGAAATGAAAGAAGAACTGAACATGTACTTTGGTCCTGTCTTCACATGATAGAGCACAGGTAACCTCCTAGAGATGTTAGGGAACCAATATATGAGCATGGGTTGAAAATTGGTTGACAGACAGAAAACAGAGTGGGAATGAATGGGTCTTTTTCTGAGGGGCACTCAGTGGATAGGTGAGGTACCACAAGAATTACTCCAACTAGTTATGATATACATAAATGATCTGGATTATGGAGTCGAATGCAACATTTCCAAGTTTGATGATGTCACAAAATTTGGACGGGATTGTGGGGAGGATACAGTGAGGCTTCAAGGTGACTTGAACAATTTGACTGAGTGGGCACCATATGGCAGATGCACTTTAACGTGGCTGAATGTGAAGTTATACACTTTGATGTGAAAAATGGAAAAGAAACTTATCACTTAAATGGTGATATATTGGGAAATGTGATCAAAATTCCCTCTCATTCTTTTACGGCTCTGCAGGCCTTTTGTTTTGGGAAGTCACTGCCGCAATCAGTGGGTTGATTGGATGGTTATAATCTATGTAAATTCTAGTCAACCCATTCTATTAAGGAATTAACTGCTGTGAACTCCAGCTGCTTTAACCAGGTTCATCCAGGTCATTTTGCATAATGTACTGAATCTCTGTTTCCATCTGAACATGTTTATCTGGGATTAATCAATAAGGAGGAAAAACACAAAGAACGCAGAGAACCTTTTAAAGAAGGATCACTGGACCTGAAATGTTGACCCTGCTGTGCCTCCACAGATGCTGCCAAACCTGCTGAATTTCTCCAGCAATTTCTGTTGTTGATAATCTATAAGGATATTGTTTTATCAGTACTGATTCCCTTAAATCCATATCATGTCTGGCTAACATAGTAAATCTAAGCATACCTCAACAAATGGCCTTGAATTTCTAAAGTAACCTGAAGTAACTGTTAATCTTTCTCGAAATATGAAAACAAGTTATTTAGCTGTCCCAGTATTCCAGCATTGGCCAGTCACATTATAGGAGGTTCAGTTTGTGAACTATCTACCTTACTCTTGCGATCTCTGTCAAGCTACATTACTCATAATCTCTGACATACCTTTTCCCATCTTCTTCTGTATGATGATATTGCAGTTCCGTGTTCTTTTGCTATATTTGATTCACCTTCCTGCAATCTGGAATATCTACCAGATAAGTTATCCCCCTAACTAGCTTGTATGGACCACTGAATGCCACTTTGAGGTTGACCTTGTAAAGGTAATGTTAATACATGGTCTTCTGTTTGAAATGTTCTAGTTGTAGCGTGTCTGTCAGCCCATTCTTTCACTTCTGCCTGTGAAATTTTTAAGTGCTCCCGTGCTACTTTATATGCTCCTGTCAATCTCTCTGGAAACATGGACACACAATCTATCATCAAGGATTTGTCTCTTTGCCTTTTAAAAAAAACCTTGATAATTTTTAATGATCTCTTATCTCATGATCATAGATCAATTCAAATTGATTAAAGCCAGAAGACTCATCTGGGGAATCTCTGAATGCAATTCCTGTGGGTATTTGTGGCAGTCTGCCTTAATCATTGCTTTGACAGTCTGACGATACATCTCCAAAATTCCTTCTGTTTGCAAGTGATAAGTAGTGAACTGAACATCCAAGTTATATCCAAGCTGTTGATTATGTCCTGAAAAACTTTTGATGTGAATTTAGAATCTAGGTCTTGTTAGATTTCAATGGTAGCCTATAACAAGTTTTAAAATTTTTTTTTAAAAGCTGAATTAATTTTTCCACCACTACGTTACCTATAATTATCCTTAAAGGAATAGCTTCTGAAAATTGGGTTATCATAGCTACAACTACAACATTATACTGGTGTTGTGCTTTCACTTTACAGTAATGGTCTTCGCAATCACTGCATGTCGAGGTTATCCCACTACTTGCCGTGTATGGTGTTTTTACAGAACTACACTCCATCCTTGAAGTCTTAACCAGATAAAATGCCTGATGCTGGATTTATTTTATTTTATTCAACTTTTTAGTATGTGCTTATTTTAACCTAACCACCACTTCCAATGCTATTTAACATTTTAGTATTAGAATAGACTTTGACCATTTCCCAGTCACTGACGAGACACACCCAACTGACCTATGCTAGAGGTTCCTAGTTAGAAAAAGCAAAGGAGCACTTTCTTTCTTTCTTCACCTAACTCACCCAATTCCCAGCACTCTACTGAAAGTCACCCTTGGTGCTCAGTTGCCTTGGTATGTCTCAGTTTATATGCTATGCATTAGCTGTTTTCAGAAAGAACAGTGAAGTTCTCCTTTGATATGCTGGCTAATGTTTATCCTCACCAACATTACTGAGGTAGACTGTCTTTTCATTTTCATACTTCTTATTGTAGATCCTTGCATTTTGTGCATTGGCTTCCCCTGTACCTACATCACATCAGTGACTATATTTTCTAAAGTACTTCATTGGCAGTAAGGCACTTTGGAATGTCCTGAGATCATGAATGATGCTATTTTTGTACATTTTTTTAAAAGTTGAAATTATAGCTAGAACATAAAAGCAAAGTTGTGATAGTCTTACCAGACAATAAGGCCGCTGTCTCTGGTGACAGTTTAACCTGCGGGTCACCACACCTCAGGCATGGGGAGAAGTTGAGAAGGAAAATCCTTCATATAGAACATATTGACAACTCAATTTAAATGGAATGATATAAAGGATGGAGAAAGCA